CTCTCCTTGCAGCCACGTGCTGGGTTCCTTTAGTTAAATTTATGAAACAGCCATTGTTTGATGAGGGTTTGTAGTTTTCGTACCGAGTTTCTGTGGGGACGAATAGGAAGTGATTTTCCTAAACCTTTGAGTTGTCAAAGCAACATCTAATTCACAGTAATTTTGGTGGAAGTTGTTTCAGTGTCATGGGTGAGATCTTGGCCCTATGGAAAACTGAGGAGGGGCCCCAGCTGGCATTCTGGTGCATCTCTAGGAACACCATATAGTGACCCATGCAGCCAGTTGTCTTGCAGTAGATAGATTGTGTCAGTACCTGGAGCTATAAAGTAGGTAGCAGAAAACAGCATAGCAAGAACCTACCCAGCAGGCAGCCTCATTCATCAGTGATTCATTTTCATCAGGAAAAGCAACCTGTACAATCCTTATAGGGAAAATACATTTACTTTCTTAAATGTATCTGTATTTTTTTTTTTTTTTCATTGCCCATTTCTTTCCTGTACAGGACTGAGATGTTGGCTTCATTCACTAGGATCCTGGTCAGGCAGTCCACAGGTACACTGATCTGTTGTGCAGATGAGTTATTTTATTTGGTAGTCTTAAAGGTACTGCATTTCAGTTTGCTCTTTTCTCTGTTACTTGAGAAAATGTGGAAATTGGTGGATGCTGACTGACCTGCTATATCCCCCCCTCTGCTTTATGTAATTGGCTTTTCATTTTTTTCTTTGCCTTCTGGACCATTTCTGTTTGAGCTCTGTGTTTTGAGACAGACAGAGCAGGAAAAAGTATCCCAGAACACAACAAAACTTTCCTCTATTTAAATTTTTATAGTGTCAAACCCATATTTTCACTTTGAGTTCCAGTCTTGGACACCTGAATACTTCCTTTTTTTCATTAGAAGTGAGCTGAGATCTTCAACTGCTTTCCATCCCTGAAGGTTTAGGTGTAGCTTACAACTTTGCTCTGAGAACAAAACAGCCAGTAATACCATTGTTTTCAGTGTCTCCTTCATTTGATCCCATGCAGGTGCCTACAGCAAGATTATGACTCCAGTTTACCTACTGCTAGTGTCATCATCTGTTTCCATGATGAAGCCTGGTCTACTCTGCTGAGAACTGTGCACAGCATTATGGACACAGCCCCAAAGGCCTTCCTCAAGGATATCATCCTAGTCGATGATCTCAGCCAGCAAGGTAGCCTCTGTGTCTTTATATGTGAGCTCTTTTCTCTCAAAGATTCAGGGAAGAAACTGTTGTCCTTCCTGAAGTGTGTGAAGAGAGTAGAAGGCAAAGAGGACCCTCAGGAAGAGAGCTAAGCAGAGTCCTGGGCTGGCTACTAGATTTCACTCTTCTTTCCTTAGAATTCAGCTTAGCCTTAACAGCTTTGAAATATGTTTCTTTTTAATTCATAATTTCCAATTCACTCTGAAGTTTCTTGCTTTAAAATAAGATCACAGTATGCAAATCTCAATCTTTCCACTGGACCTGATCTGCTCTAATAATTTGCAGACTTAGACGTTGATTGTAGTGTTAAGTGGCAAACTCCACACTGTTAAAGTAATCCAAAGTGCTTGGGAAAGCCAAACACCTGCAGTATCTCACTCTGATCTGCACTTTTTATGAGATGATGAGAGCATCCACCTTTTGCTGAAAACAGGAGAGGAGCCTTCCTACAGGAATCTCAGTTTCCATTAGTCTCTACTTCTCTTTGACATTATGGTGCTTAACTACATAAATGTCCCCTAGCAAGAAGTAGCACCTTCTACTACCTGTTGCTTTTCTGTAACAGCTTGAGTCAAAGGTAAAACATTTCAGTGACCATGCTGTTTCTGGCAGGGCCCCTGAAGTCAGCTCTGAGTGAATACATCTCCAAGCTGGATGGTGTGAAACTCATCCGGAGCAACAAGAGGCTTGGGGTCATCCAGGGTCGGATGCTAGGAGCCGCACGGGCCACCGGGGACGTGCTGGTCTTCATGGACTCTCACTGCGAGTGCCAGAAGGGCTGGCTGGAACCCCTCCTCGCCAGGCTGTCCACCAACAGGTAAATATCCACCTGCACGTGCTAATTTCTGCTCAAAGAGAAGTACTTGGAAAGATTTAGGTTTGTTTTGGTTTGTTGTTTTTTTTTTATCTTCTCTCAGTTACCTTCTACCTTCTAGTTATGTTGCTTTCATTTTCTACCTCATCACCACATGACTAGCTCTGATACATGGGAAGCAGGATGGGTCACACAGCTTCTAACCCATACTTCACACCCAGCATCACTGAACTCCCAGAGTTTGTATCCAGTTAGAGCTGTAAGAAGGCTTCCTCGTGGTCTGAATTAAAAAGGTGGCAGTCTCAAGCTGTTTGCAAATTAGCAAACATCTGCCAGAGAAACTACTGGAAGACTCCATTATTTTTACTTTTAGCTGTCTCAGTGGTGAAGCCAAGGATGAAATGCTTTGTCCTCCTTAGCTACATACCAATGTCACCTGTACCATCTCTCTACCAGAGAAAATATAGACTTCCTGGGCAGCCTAGACAGTTCTAGCTAATTGTGGGTACATTCGCTGACACCAAATTGAGAGGAAGACAGATTCATATTTTCTGAGTTTTTCCTGTTTAGGTTGGTGCTTGGGCCTGCTCTCTAACATGCAGCTGAGTTCATCCATGCAGTCCCAAAGTTCTTCAAAGAGATTGAATCACTATGAATGTTTTAAGAATTACATGGCAGTAAATCCAGTATTAAAGGGACTTTTCTGAAAGAAAAATTTGTAATTTTACTTGTCCATCATTACCCATAAGCCACTTGGGGAAAAGTGAATAATTTCTAGAGGGGAGTAAGAGAAAAAAACCCAAAACTTTAAAACTCTTACCAGACCATTAAATAGTCATACCAAAGACCTTCAAAGGCTGTTTCCATGCAGTGGAACAAGCTGCTTTTACAGCTTATTATGTTTGCTTATAAGAAAATTAATGTTTTTTAAAATTATTACATCTGTTGGATGAAAACATTAAGAATACTGAAAGCAAGAGTAATGCTGCCCTAGGATGTCAGGAATATTATAAAAGGTCCTCCTTGGAAAAGCAGATTATTTTTTTTCTGCTGACTTATTAGATGGTTTGTTGTGAATATACTTAATGATTCTTCTGCCTAAAGGTATAGCCTATTGTTGATGTTCATGCAAAACTGTCAGTTGGTCAGTCCTTATTCAAGGCTGTATTGCCTCAGAGGAGAGCTATAGTGAAGGGAGAATTACAATGGCAAGAGAGAAGTTAGGATCCCACAAGTGATTCACTGTCAGAAATCATCCCTGCTGAGGGAATACAAAGCTACCAAGCCTGCTGTCACTCTGGGATTTCTGCAGCGCTGCCACCAGGGATTCTCTTCCTCTGTAGGACCCATGTGCTCATTCCTTCCTCCAGGAGGGCAGAATTTAACCCTGAGAGTTAGCTAATGGCTAATGGGATTAATGGAGCAAAGGTGGAAGAGTGTTTGGATAACAGCATGGGCCATGCCATCCCTTTCTGTATGTTGTGTCTGACCCTGGGAGCTTTGCCACTGCTAGGGTGGGGAACCTGTGCTGTTAGAGGAAGACGTGCTCCAAGGCATCTGGAAGTCACTTTGCCTCACTGTCCCCAGCTGAAGAATGGTGATAATAACACTGACCTGATAGGGAAGTTAATTCATTATTTTTCTTATATTGCTTGTGATGCTTGCATAGAGATCACTATGGAAATGTAGAGCATTAGCACAGCCAACTTGGCTTCATTTAGCAGTTGAGGAGCTGTTAAATTGAATCATGTGCATTCTGTGAGACTAAATGAGGAAAGTACAGTGAAAAAAAGCTTACAGTAACGGGTGAAATATCCATCTTTCCTCTTCTTAATGTACCAGTGTAGCTGCAACTCATGTACTTGTGCTGGAGAGACAGGATGGGAAAACAATCACCTAGAGTGAGTGAGGGGGTTGTTTGCTGGCAAGGAAAAATGCAGCCTTCCCAAAGCTAAAACCTTTGCAAGAGCTTAACAGAGCTAGAGGGAGATTTTAACTTTGAAAATTGTGATTAAGCTTTATCTTCTAGACTGCTGACTAGATCTACCACTATTACTGTGACCTGTCTTAGAGTGATGGCAACAGATCCCTGCCCCAACAGAGACCTCATTGTGAGTTGAACATAGGCACAAAAAAGGGAGATACCTCCAGTTCTTGGTAGCCCATGATAATGACAGACAGGACTTGCCCTGAATGATGACATTTAATCTCCCTGTGTGATGGCTCTATTTACTAATCCAGACAAAATTATTTTCCCCAAAGTATTAAGTCTTTCTAAAATCAGTACACATTTATTTATGGGCACCTTGGCAGGGAGGTGTTCTGTGAACCATACCTATCTAATTGTCTGGGAAGCTGCACATCAGCTTAGTAGAGTGCCTAGGAAGTAGTTCAGCATCCCTTGACGTTTTGGTTATTCAAGGATAAACAACGCAGGCACCTGAACAACATTACAAAACTAGATGAGATGCCCCACAGATCATTTTATTTGACAATTGTTTGTGTTCCAGGCTAATTCCAGGTGAGGAGCATGGTGCATAGTAATGCAGCTGTGCCATTATTACAGTCGTATTTTGAGGCATTTGCCCTTTCCAGGAGACTGCAGGAGATAGCTGCTATGTTGTATTTGGTCCAAAGGGAGTGAAAGGCAGAGGGGATGTGTAATGAACTGTGCCATGAAAACTTGGAAAATATTACTTCTGTAACCTAAAACCAGTGACCATCTTTCTGAAGCAGAATGATTTTTTTTTTTTTTTTTTTAAAGGAGCCAAAATGTGGTTCCTGACAATACTGCATGAAAGCAAAATGAGCCTTGATGGATATCCTTGTCAAGGAATTCCACATTTAAAAGAAGTCATAGCCACCATAACCACGGCAGAAGGGTGGCTTGCAAAGGGGTATCTTGCCCTTAGGACCTTTGACGTGGTCCTTGTTGCAAGGGCTGTTGACCACTGTGCTGATGCACTGCCTATACCACAGCTCAAATATTAGGAAAGGGAAGCTTGTGATATTATTAAAAGAAGCCTATCTACTTTCTAAAAGTGCCTCTACTTAGCTCTGTGACTCTAGGTCACTAATCTTTAATGAAAATGCTGTTGACCATTAATTAATAAGAAATTAATGTGGAAGTGGAAAGCTATCTCATTTGCTGTTTGCCCCCCTTCAGGAGTGAGTGGGAGCTTCTGCACGTAGATACTGGAACAAAAACAGTTCTGTCCAGAAAATTTCCAAAGAAGTTCTAGTTTTATGGTAATATACTAGAGATGGGGGAAATATTTTGTGCTAAAGTTGAACAGCTCCTGATCATCTGATTCACCACTTCTCAGTGACCCATACCCCAGCTTTTCCAGCTACCAAATACATAAGCCATCTGTTTTCCACCTGCTCACAGGCTCAGGGAAGCGTGGTGTTCTCCATCCAGAGCCCACACAACCCCAACACCTGAGCATGCATTTCATAGAATCATAGAATCATAGGGGTTGGAAGGGACCTCAAAAGATCATCCAGTCCAACCCCCCTGCCAGAGCAGGACCGCCTAGAGTGTATCACACAGGAAGGCGTCCAGGCGGGTTTTGAATGACTCCAGTGAAGGAGACGCCACAACCTCTCTGGGCAGCCTGTTCCAGTGCTCTGTCACCCTCACAGTAAAAAAATTTTTCCTGATATTCACCTTGAACCTCCTATGCTCCAATTTGCACCCATTACCCCTTGTCCTATCACAGGTCATCACTGAAAAAAGCTTAATTCCATCTTCCATTTCCTTGCTACTCTCCTTGTTTTGAAAACCTTCCATATACTTCACATACAACAGCCTGCTTCCTGTGACTTCTTTTGTTGCCTAGTCCTTTTATATCCTCCGTTTGTCAATAACACTCATTTCAAATTCAGTAAATTAATGTTCTGCACTTACATGGTATGTTATGTCAAGATATGTTATCTCTTTACAATCTTTCACAGCTGATCAGGATCAGTAGGTGACCTGTTTTAAGCAAGCTGAGGTAAAGAAACTGAAGGTGAGAATCTAAAGCCGAAAGCAAATATTACTGCCAAAAGCAGGAGCAATGAGAGTTTAGGCATGATTCATAGTACAGTGCCATGACTGTCCAGTATAAAAAGGTTAATGGTCACTCCTACAGATTTTGGTACCCCACATACAAATTTGAATATTCTACCTAAAAAAAAAAGATAGGTTCAAAAGATTTTTTTTAGCACTCTATGTATCATAGATTTAAAGTCTATGTTTAGTGCTTAGTATAGGAGTTCAAGGAGCATCAAGCATCAGTTCAAAGAGACTTTGTATGCCCTAAGTTAGTCTGGAGCTGGTCTGTAAGTCAGTATTTAAGTAATCCCTTATACTACAACTTTACCATTCCTGATCACTGCATTTTATCTTCTTATTAACCCTATTGAATTTCAAGTGTCTTGCATTACTGTTTCTCTGAAGACTTCAGCCATCCAGCAAGGTGCTTTCAGTGCACATGCAGTGTGCTGTGGAACCAGCCTTGGTTCTCAGTTACATACTGGAGTTTTGAGACCATGCAGAGCCAGAGAACTTGGACTGCCTGGATTTCCTAGCTAATTTTTGCAGGGAATGATTTACTCTGAAACTGACTGAGAAAAATACATAATTTTCATGCTTTGGTGTTGTGGAGGTTTTTTTTTGTTTCCCCTTATTTAAAAGGGGGTTTAAACAGATCTGAATCTGTTCCCTTCTCAGCAAAAGGGAGTATAAATCAGTAAAAAGCACTTTCAAAAAACCAGTGTATCTAAAACTTCAAAACAGCTGCGTTAATTAACTTGTCCTCTCCTCATGTTTCTTATTCTAAAAATAGAAAAGAACATAATGTCCATAGTGACCGTAAAGGGTCATGGGAAGATATTTCATCCAGTCGTATTTGGTTGAGAAATCCCAAACCAGGAAATCGTTCTTGTTTGTGTTGTTCTTTTTCACGGAATTGTGGCCTTTTGTCCTTCATGTGTGTTCCAAGCATTTGAAATATTTGCAAATGAGTCAAGTGGTTCAAAGCTTTGCTGCTAGTTGTGTTTGATTTCCTGTTTTTTCTTTTCCTTGGATTCCAAAGAGTAAAATTAGCGGTAGTTTGGCAGCGTGTTTTGTTTCAAAGTGCCGAGAAGCTGCTGACTCTCTGCCAGTTTACCCAATTAAAACCAAAAAGAATAGCTAAGAACGTCTTCCAACTTTCAATCATCTTCTGCTGCAGATTTGCATTTAGAACCACACAGATATCAAACCATCATTAAATGTTCAGGAAATAGATCTTTTATTAAAAAAGCATTAATACCAAAAGAGAGGAGAAGCACTGCTTGATTAAAACTGGATATTGGCCAGTTTTCACACAAGATAAAGCTACTTGATTTGTTTATTTGAGATTAGAAAGACACTCAATATTTAAAGTTTTAAGGAGGTGTGTTTCTAGTGGTTTCAGCAGAGCTACATCAGTTTATAGTAGGTGAAGTTCTAGCTTTACACTTAGAAAGAAGATACTCTTGAAAATTGTTAAACTCGGCA